CTGTTCAGTTGCAGAGAGACTATTTTGAAGTGAGAAAATTCCAGTAGTGTGTCAGGACTTAAATTGCATGTGTTATTGGACCAGGACGTTTGATAGGCCTTCATATAGTGTGGTCAGCTTTTTCAATAGAAAATGTCTGAGTTTCATAACCTTTAGGTGTATAATTGAAAAGTGATAAGTAAATGTAATGTATACTGAAAGTAGTAATAATTTCATATGATGTGTAGGTGATTGGTTGCGTAGTGTGGATGGACATGAAGTTACATTCCAAACCATTGACTCAGTTCTAACAAATCTCAGCACTCCTGGTAAGGTAAGCTGTAGTGTTTTGTATAGCATATGGCACTGCTAAGAATCTGATGCTAATTTATGTTAACAGTTTATATTTCCCTTACAGGTAGAGCTGAAGTTGCAGCGAGTTGCAGGTTGTGATGTTACAGCACAGTTGTCAGTTGAAAGCCCACCCAAGGTTTGTGTCTTATATGCTCAGGCATTGTAACATTTTGGAAAAGTATTGCATACAGGGCTTTGAAATTAACATCCATGGACCAGAGTCCTCTTTGAGGACTGATAGTTGCTCAGCTAGTCAAGAAATTTACTATCTTTATGGAATCTGGATGTTTACAAGAACCTGTCACTGTGATGGTGAGCTAGAGGAATTTTCTTCACACCATTTCTTGAAGTTCCATTCTAATTTTACCATTCCATCTAGGCCTGTATTTTTCAGAAGGTTTATTCCTTATTCTTTATGAGTAATATTTTGTATGAATTATTTGTTTCTTTTATGTGCTACGTGTTCAGTTTCATCTTGTATCTCGTCCTTAATTTGATCAGAGTGCCCAGTACTGTTGATAAAACTGTTTTTCTGAAAATGTGAGTGCCAGATACAAGTATTAATTATGTCATCTGTGCAAGACGTTCCCACGTGATTCATAATGAGAGACAAAGAGATGTGTTGGAAACATGAAATGTTGCATGTGTCAAACTCAGTACATATCCCAATGCATTCTTTGGCCAAAAATAATTTTAATGTAAGTGTTGTGTGGGAGGATGAATGATTAAAAATTGACTTTGTTCAGTCAGAGACTGGTATTTATCAGTGAATGTGCGCCATAAGCATTTCAGAACTTGAAGGTAGAATGCTTAATTGAATTTTTGAAGCAGGAAATTTGTAATGAGTTATTCGTTTGATGTCAGTAAAGCAAGCAGTTGAACATGGTTTTGATTTTTGGAAATTTGGAGTTGGGTTTCTGGTTTGTACTGGTAGACTGAATTCTTAGAAGCAGTTGGTATTTTTTTTACAAAAATTTTTTTTTGATGCTTTGTTCTAACAGTTTATCATCCATATTTTTAATAAAGAAACAAGGCACTATGCCAATACAGACTTCAGCCAGAAAATAACAATTTCTAAGACAGACAACTTCTGAATGATGCAGTCATGTGATAGCAGCA